ATTGTCCGCTTTGGGCCCCGACTACGCCCTCACGGTTTTTGTTTTTGGGAACTCACACGAGAACTTCTCGATGGGTCACCCATCCTGGGAATGCTCTCGCGCGCTACTCACTTAACTTCGGAGTTCCCACGGAACCCGAAGCCAGTGAGCTCCCAAAAGGCCTCGTGCTAGGTAGAGATGGGAATATACATATAAGGATCACCCCCTGGGCGATGTGGGATGTCACAATCCACCCTCCTTAGGGGCCCGACGTCCTCGTCGGCACACACGCGACCAGGGTTAGGCTCTGATACCAAATTGTCACATCCCAGCCCGGGGAGGATCACTTCCCGGGCCTACTCCACCACCGTAGCACGATATTGTCCGCTTTGGGCTTACCATTCCCTCACGGTTTTGTTTTTGGGAACTCACGAGCAACTTCCCAGTGGGTCACCCATCATGGGATTGCTCTAGCCCCCTTCTCGCTTAACTTCGGAGTTCCTACGGAACCCGAAGCCAGTGAGCTCCCAAAAGGCCTCGTGCTAGGTAGGGATGAGATATACATATAAGGATCACCCCTGGGCGATGTGGGATGTCACAGTTTATATGTGACAAAATCTTAAAACCTTGTGGGAGGTTGTCTATCACGCCGAGGATTGCGTCGAAGTACTAGGAGGTTTGTCTCATCCTCGTTCAAATTGTCATCCACACCTTGAGGATTTTCTATGTTGCCGTTGTCATCATCATGCACCGAGTCATCATCATGCACAGAATTATCAGGATAAGTACCTTCATTATTGACTTCAATGGGAGGTGTAGAAGTACAGATTCTTGGTAGAGGAATTAGGTCTAAGATGCACTCCCCCTGACTTGTGGCTTCATGAGATTTGCTGAAAAAAGGGTTAGCTTCATGGAATCGTACATCTTTAGATACAATTATTTTTCTTAGTTGAGGATCATAGCACTTATATCCTTTTTGTGTTGATGAATAACCAAGAAAAATACATTTGAGAGATCTAGGGTCTAACTTATCTCGATGGTGTGACTGTATATGAACAAAACAGACACAGCCAAAGACTCTAAGATGTGAAAGGTCGATTTTTCTTCCTTTCATGACTTCAAGTGGAGATTTAAACCCCAAGACTCGGCTAGGAAGTCTATTGATGATGTACACAGCCGCCATGACTCCTTGTGACCAAAATCTCGTTGGTACGTTCATTTGTAACATTAATGCTCTCGTTTTTTCCAGAATGTCACGATTTTTCCTTTCAGCTACACCATTTTGTTGAGGTGTGCCGACACAACTTGTTTGATGCATGATACCATGCTTGCTCAAATATAATGACATGATATGGGACATATATTCGGTGCCATTGTCAGATCTTAAGGTTTGAATTTGAGAGGAAAAATGGTTCTTAACAAGATTGTGAAAATCCTTAAAAACTTCAATCACTTCACTCTTAGACTTTAAAAGGTACAACCATGTGGCTCTAGAGAAATCATCGACAAAAGTTACATAATACTTATAACCATCAAAAGATTCAAACGTTGGTCCCCATACATCTGAGTGAACTAGTTCGAAAACTTTACTAGTCCTAGATAAGGATGAGGTAAAAGACAATCTGGTGGCTTTAGACAAATGACATGTTTCACACGAAATTAAATCATTCCCTAAGTTTGGAAACAAGGAAGACAAAACAGGTTGGGAATGATGAGCTAAACGTTGATGCCACAATTGACTATCTTGGGATGGACTGGACTTGGCTTGAAATCCTCTGGGACTGTTTTTTGATATGTAATAGAGGCCATCTAGTTAAAACCCTTCACCAATCGTCTTCTTGGTGAGGCAATCCTGAAAAATGACATTGTGAGGAGAGAAAATGGCCAAACAATTTAAGGTATTGGTGATTTTTCCCACAGATAGAAGTTGAAATGGAAAAGAAGGAACAAATAAGGCTACTGACTCAATTTTGTCCGATATTAAGTTGATATTTCCCTTCCCTAAAACCTTAGAACTCTCATCATTGGCAGTTGAGACTTGAGACGGTTTTGAAAATTTTTCAAACTTGTGAAACTTAGAAACATGGTTGGTCATATGATCTGTGGCACCCGAATCAACAATCCACAAATCATGCATCATATTTACATTAAGAGCAGTTTTAAAAGCAGTCATGATACCTTGCATGTCATCTTGGGCCATGTGTTGTGTTTCTGTCAGAAATCCAGCAAACTTGCCTAGCAAAGCTATTGAATTTCCATCTTCAAAGCCGACCGTTTGGTCACTCTTAATCCTTTCTTTCTTGCTTTGAAGATACACTGCAAACTCATTTATGAGTGCAGCTGGATTTGCAGTGAAGCTCTTGAGTGCATCAGACCTATGAGAGGTTGAGGTAGTTGCATTGTTGGCTCTATGTGGTGCACGGTTCAGTCTTTGTGAGCCCTTGTTATCCTTCATGAACTCTGGCTTTAATTCTGGATGTAAAATCCAGCATGTCTCCTTAACGTGACCAGTATAGTTGCAGTGTTGGCACTTTAAGTGTGGATTCTTCACTTTGTATTTTCTTTCGTTGGCTAGATAAGCCCTTGCTTCAGTTACACTGGTCTTTGTGCCAGTGTTCATGACTTTCCTTCGTACTTCTTCACGTTGGATTGTTGCACATACGCTGGTGAAGGAAGGTAGTTCGGGGTTCATGAGTATGTGGCTTCGTAGGTCTTCGTATCCTAGATCGAGACTTGACAAGAGTTGGAATATCTTGTCTTCTTCTGCCCTTTTCAGTAGTAAAGACGCCTCAGTTGTGTGAGGCCGATACATTTCCAGCTCATTCCACATGCTCTTCATGCTGCCTAGAAGTTGAACAAAGGGCTTTCCTTCTTGTTGTATGTTGGAAATGTTCTTCTTCAATTGAAACACACGTGCAGCGTTGTTCTGGCTGCCATACATCTCCTTGACTGTCTCCCATAGTTTGAATGATGATTCAGAATAACTGAATATTTCAGCTAGTTTATGTTCCATGGAATTTAGGAGCCATGACATAACTAGCTGATCCTTGCAAAGCCAGATTTCATAAGTTGGTGAAGAAACATCAGGAACTTCGATGCTTCCATTTATGAACCCTAGCTTGGACCTTCCACCTAGGGCAAGACTCACTGCTATCGACCAAGGTAAGTAATTAAACTCATTTAACAAGACCGAGCTTAATCTTTGATTTGGATTGACATCCACCTCAAACACGGTTGAGGAGGAAGGTATCTGGGAATCTCCAAACGAATAAGAATTCTCTTCTGCCATATAAAGACGATTGAGCAGTGGAGATGGTCCGAAATGCAAGGTCTTGAGCTGCTGTTTGATGCTGCCGATCCTTTTAAAACCAATCCACCAGCAAACCCATCAAACCCCTGGTGTTCCAACAGTTGGGAAGGAGATTGTTGATCTCTGCCTTGATCGAATCCGAAAGCTTGCTGATAACTGTACGGGGCTTCAAGGTTTTCTGGTGTTCCACGCCGTTGGAGGTGGAACCGGCTCTGGCCTCGGCTCTTGCTCTTGGAAAGGCTCTCTGTCGATTATGGAAAGAAATCGAAACTTGGGTTCACAGTCTACCCGTCTCCTCAGGTCTCAACCTCCGTCGTTGAGCCATACAACAGCGTGCTTTCTACTCACTCCCTCTTGGAGCACACCGATGTGTCGGTTCTCCTCGACAACGAAGCCATCTACGACATCTGCCGCAGGTCTCTCGACATTGAAAGACCCACTTACACCAACCTCAACTCCCCAGAAGGCAACAACATCAACTCCCCAAAGGGCAGACAGAATGGAGAGCTCCGAGCCCAAAAAGGACTCCACCGGCGGCGGCGACGGTGGAGAAAAGCCGGAGTCTTTACCTGCAGTTCAGTTCAAGGAACTCTTCAGATTCGCTGATGGGTTGGATTACGTTCTGATGGCAATTCGGTCAGTCGGAGCTGTCGTGCATGGCAGCTCTCTCCCCATTTTTCTCCGGTTCTTCGCCGATCTTGTTAATTCTTTCGGCGCGAATGCGAACGACATGGATAAGATGATGCAGAAGCAGGTTATTTTTCCTGCTCTGATACCATATTGATTTTTCTGATTTGAATTGTAATATATTTCATATCATAGAAAGCCTTATGGGAAGGCATACTTATACACAATACAAAAAAGAAAGCTGAAAGCTTTACACCCTTGTAATCGGATGCAACAGCACACATGCACATGCACATTCCTTTCCCTGCTGTCCATGAGTCAGCAATCACATGCACATTCCTTTCCAGAGTGCACACCCTTGCTGTCTTTCCTTTACCCATGCTTGCCGTGCTGTATGCTTGCTGTGCTGTCTGTACATACAGCTTGCCGTGCTGTCCTTCTTCCAATAAATGGCACACGGCTGCTTCCTCTGTTGTGGTGATGTTGAGGTAGACGTTTGCGCCCAATGCGTGAACGCGGCAATCCTAATGGCAGTCCGGAGCTGCCCCAGAAGTAAACGGGTTGTGTGGTGGCACGGCAAGAACTGTATGTTAAGGTACTCAGATGAGTCATTCTTTTCCATTGTGCAATACTTGCCTGATTTCATCGAAACGATGCTTTCCATCCAGACAGTACCGAAAGTTAATGCAACAATACCAGATGAACCAACCGGATTTAATCACGTAATGGAGAGTATTTTGAATGATTTAGTCACCGAGGCTTCCGAGGCTTCCAAGGCTTCTTCCAAGTTCGCATCCAAGTAAGCGCATGTTACAGGGTCGAATATTACGCTGTACAGCCTTGCGCAGTGCACGCAGGACCTCTCCACTGCAGATTGCAATTCCTGTCTTAGGGTCGCCGTAGCACATGTAGTTTCAACCAATGGAGGAATCGATGGAGGACAATTTATCTGTCCCAGTTGTAATGTCAGGTACGAAACTGTCCCCTTTTACGGGAAACCATAGGTTCCTCATATTCGTCCTCCTCCTCCTCCTCCTCCTCCTCAAGGTAATAGAGTTGATCATATAAATGTACACATTTATATTAGTGCATGTCATGTTGCCGTCACACAAAACGGCTATGAGAAATCTTATCTTGGTCTAGTGACCAGGAATATATGGATGTAATGTTTTAATCTCAAGTCAAGCCTTGGTATCAAATCTAAACGGATCCTTGGAAAACGGTTTTCAAAAGTTTATATTTAAAAACTTGTTCATGTATAGGAAGAAGAAAACCATTGCCAGTAATCGTCGCCAGTATTGTTGCTTCTGTTACTGTCTGCGCGGTGCTTGTAGCTATTGGCTACTACTTCCCAGGCACGAGGAGATCATCACGAAACAAGCATAAAGTCCAGGGAGAAGAAAAGAATGGTAAAAAGAAGAACCAAACAATTAAATTCAGTCGATCACTTGTTCTTTCATGTTCTCCAATGTCAATTACGTGTAATCTTCTGATGAACTCATTATAATCACTGCTTAATTTAATTTCTTAATAGCTAGAAATGATATAGCAGCTGTTGAGTCCTTGCAACTGGACTTGGAAACTATTGAAACTGCAACAAGCAAGTTTTCTGATAGTAATAGGTTAGGTCAAGGCGGATTTGGTAAGTTTTCAAGGTATGAAACTTTACACACACACACACACACCAGGTGTGCTTAGCATAATTCCTACATATACCTGACAGGGATATATATTTTTCAGTGAACGCTTGGTGTTAATGGACAAGAAATAGCAGTAAAGAGGTTGTCGAAAAGCTCGGTGCAAGGTGTACAAGAGCTTAAGAATGAACTTCTATTGATAGCCAAGCTTCAGCACAGAAATCTAGTGAAGCTTCTGGGATTTTGCTTGGAAGGAGAAGAAACCATACTTGTCTATGAATATGTGCCTGACAAAAGTCTTGATTGTTTTCTAAATGGTGTATAAATGCATATATGTGTGTGGTTTGTTTGTTAACTGTCTGTTATTTCTTGCATATATTATTGCTTACTACTCTTTGTTTGCCGATTAATGTGAGTATAGAATTGAAAAAACGAGAACAATTGGATTGGTCGAGACATTGCATGATAATAGGAGGAATAGCTCAAGAAATTCTATATCTTCATGAAGATTCAAGGCTTAGAGTTATACATCGCGATTTGAAACCGAGCAATATCCTATTAGATGTTAATATGAATCCAAAAATATCAAACTTTGGGATGGCTAGAATGTTTGGAGTTGATGATCAAACTGAAGGAAACACGAGAAGAATTGACGGTACTTAGTTTCTTGAACTTAATTATACCTCTATGCTTAGTCTCAAACAACTTATTTATATACCTATATATATTGACTTTGATAACTCATCTTTGATTGCAACTATTTTGGATGTGCAATTAGTGGTTACATGACTCCCGAATATGCTATGGGCGGGTTTTGCTCCATAAAATCAAATGTTTTTAGCTTCGGCGTACTCTTGCTTGAGATCGTAACTGGGAGAAGGAACTTTTTAGGCTTTCATCTCACAGATACTGCAGCTACTCTTTTAGCACATGTAAGCCTGATTAACTACCTATCTATCAACTTAATTAGATGTGTTACTTTTACATCCTCGACCGCATGCAGGCTTGGCAGTTGTGGAATGAAGGGAAAGTGTTGGAGCTGATGGATCCATTGTTGAAAGATTCATGCAGCGCAGACGAATTTTCGAGATACATCCATATGGGATTATTATGTGTTCAACAAGATGCCAATCATAGGCCAACCATGTCATCAGTTGCTCTAATGATGAAAACTGAAACAAATAGTTTTTCCAAACCCGAGCAACCAGCCTTCTTTGCCGGAAGATCTACTGCTCACCGACATCAAACAAGTGCTCATAGTTGGTCTGCAAATGGTTTGACGATTTCAGAAGATGTCCCGCGTAGAGAATTTGCTGCAGCGACGATGGCTTGCACGATCAACAAATTGTCACCAATTGTAGATAACCGGTCTATAGTATAATGACAATCAACCTTGTTACATCATTTTTCTGGGTCCTGCTTACCTTATTTCAGAATGCACTTACATAGCATACAAACAGTACATTACTCCCTTTTTTGATAGATTTCATTTATTGTCTGTTAAATTACAAAGAAACAAATGACAATTTCCTCGCCAGGATTTCCACAACTTTCTTATGCCTCGTTTCTTGCCTTGTGCTCGTTACTCAATTACCGCCAACAGGTTTTCTACGAATACCTGTTCAATATAGATGAAACAAGAAAATGAGATGAAGCAGGCGATAGTATGTGAGAAATACAAATGAATTTTGACCTTTGCGATAATATTATACCATAATGACAGTTGAAGCAGCGGATACAATATTTAACACAATTCATCATTATCATAGATCAAGATCAGATGTTTCCGGCTTCTCTTTTCGGATTTTGAGTGAGAAATGGGGAGGAGGTGTTTGGCTAAGATGGTCTAGAAGTGTATGAGGAAACTAGAGTCCCCGTGTATAAGGGATTCCTTTAGCAGCAAGCAACGATACCTTGTGACCAACACAATGAAGAAAGTTGAGAAGCGGAAGAAAGAATTTTACTGTCATATTATTGTGGCAAAGCCGTTATATTAATTATAACAAGCTGGACAGATAAAAACACAACTCTAGATCCAGTATCACATAAGCATGGGATCGAACAACTTAACAAGTTGTTCAGAAAACTGCAACTTTGAGTGAACGGGCAGAAGTTTTGGGCAATCACAAGCTTGTTACGTTGTTATTTTATGCATAAATGGAACATAGACCACTAAATATGTTCCTAGAAGACCACTCATCAATGTCTAGAAAGAGCTAGGTGGGCAGTACTGAAAATTTTCGTGCTCCTTCAAGGAATACATACCTACAGAGCTCTTGCTCCAGATAACCTGACCATCAATAGCAGTGAGGTGCTCATCATCAAGGCGCTTCCATGTTTTGATTGACTTGACCACTCCCCATCCTCCCCTTTTCGTTTTCTCTAAGTTTGCTACCACAACCCTTGCTCTCCGTTCCCATCCAGCCTTCCCATAAGCATGGTATCCAAATCCCCCAGCATAACAAAGGTTTATGCCAGTTAGCTCCCCGCAGAAGTCATTGAGGTGATCGTGACCTGTGAACACAGCCTTCACATCTCCTGCTGCAACCATGGTTGTGAAGAAGCCCGAGTTCACAGAAGCAGAGCTAATGCCTTCTTGCCTCACTCCGGTAAAGTTTGATGAGTCAAAACTAGCAAATTCCGGCAATGGTATGTGAAAGTATGCGAGCCCTGGCGCAGGTGCTTTCTGGGGCAGTGGCTTGCTTATGTACGCTTTCTGCAGGGGAAAAAAGGGTCTCATCAGAACTAATTAGAAATAAGTTACTTGCTCAAAGTCAAAGTGGATCTTAATCATCACATATCGATCTTGTGCAAGGGTTGATGGAAATGACTAGTTTAGGTATATGTGATCCATAAAAAAAACGGTGAGCAAAATAGCCAAATTAGTACCTGAAGCTTTGCAGAAGTTTGTTCAAACCAATATTGTTGGGAGGGTTTGATCCAACCATAACCACCGATGGAGGGAACCGTGGAGTAATCTCCGCTGTCAAGGAAGTAAAGATTGAGAACCGATTTGTTTTCAAAACCAGAGCCCTCAACTCCGGCGACCTCTAGGTTATAGTTCCCAAAACCATCAATAACATCTTGGTCCAAAGGATTAACTTGAGCCAGAGTGTTCTTCAACCCAACAATGTGTTTCATTACCCCTTCCCTCGAGAGGTCGGATTCCTGATCATGGTTCCCCAACACAGCTGCCCACGGGATGTTGGACGCGATTGCTGGGGCGTATGCCTCGTTCAAAGATTTAGCACCATTTGTGGCATCAAACCCGAATATGTTATCCCCTGTAACACAAAGTTCAGATTGGAGAACCAATCAGAGAGCCGAGTATCATGGCTAAATCAAAACTTTGCTAAACAAAATACAGTGCTTATCAGCTAAAACGATGTCCTATGCTAAACCAAAACCAATGATCATCAGCTAAATAGTGGACAGAAGATTATGTTTTGCATCAATGTCCTTGTCTATAAGCATCAACAGCAATGATGAGAAGGGGGGGGGGGACAAATACCGGTGAAGACGATGAGATTCGGCTTCTCCGCCTCGATCATGCGGAGGACAAAGGCGGTGGTGTTGAGGTCAGAGCAAGTTGGAAACTGGGACGGCAGCACATCCAAACAGGGCGTGGTCTTGCCATCGGCATAGTGCATATCCGCCACTTGCAGAATCTTAAACTGCCCATCTGTCCCAAACCTCAGCTTCTTCTCCCCACCTCCACCTTGTTGGTGGTGCTGTTGTTCTGCGGCGGCCATACCCCATACCGGAAGCAGCGCCATCACCACCACCGCCGCTAAAAATAGACTCCTTAGCACCTCCCTGTCCCTCTTCATCCTCACTGTCACTGCACCACTCTCATCTCCACAACAGAGACTCTGAACCACCATTATAAACTCACCAACCGAACAAAATATCAGTCTCAGTCTGACACGAGTTTAATATTAATCGTAATCGTTTATAGTTCCCTCTTCAACTCCAGAAATTTTCAGTCGTGATGGAAATGTTTTAATAATAGTGCTGTGAAATTTTATATTTTAAGTTATTAATTTTGTAACATATATATCATAAATGATAGGATATATATATTAAAATGTTAATAATATAAAAACTAAAATTTCCTATCTGTTTTGGTCAGAATAAAAAAATTTTCCTTCAACTCAGCGCTTTATATCTGTTTACTGTGTTATTTGACTCTTTGTTAAGTATCTCTGTCTGGGACAAGGATTGGTTGTCCTCCACTTCCAGTGCCCTTCTCATGTCGTTCTGTTTTGAGTGATCACGTTTAAATCATGTTAATATTTTATATTTTTTTTTATAGAGATAATAAGACAAAAATAAATAGTAATATATAATATTGACACGATTTAACTGTGATCACACAAATAAGAGAGCACAAAAAGAATACATGAAGTGGAGGGAGAATACATGAAGCGGAGGGCAGACAATCCTTGTCCCTCTGTTTGTGTAATTGATTAAGCACTAATTACAAGAAAGTGATAGATTTAGAATCCCTGCAAGCATATTCCCCAGCGGATTAGATACAATCATACAAGCTGCAGCGTCATTAGTGCAGCTTTGATATTTGTAACCTCACACTTACTTTTCTTGGAAAATGATCCTTGCAGGATTCTTTTTTCAAGAAAACTAAGAATTCGGTGATCATGATTATTTATCATTTATCGTGCAATCATAAATTATTTTAAATTTAAATTTTAAAATTAAATATAAATAATATCTAACGAAAACTGACTACATAATTTACGATGAACGGTTACGATTACAGGATCCTTGAGATTCCTAGGAAAAAAATCCGACAATTTTCTTATTGCAACAAAGTTTGAAGTAAACTCTTGTTCGTCCACGTGTACAATATGCCTAACTGTATAAGGAATGTGTTATCTACGCATCTATTTTTACTTCACACACACTCTTTTAATTTTTAGTCTCGAATCAGATTCAAATGACAGAAATTAACTAAAAGTGTGCGAAAACTAAAAAGGAGTGTGTGAATAACACGCACCTCAACAATTTGCAGTAACAACTAACACGCCAGCTTGTGTGCCAACTACATTGAATAAAAAGAGGTAATGCGAGAGGGACTATTTTTTAGGTTATATTTTGTATATCATATAACGCTGTTGTTAATGATTAAATTATAACTTAAGTGTTGATTAATGTGTTTATTTTCTATTTGTGACATATCACTTGATTTGTAAATATGGTTTAAAAAATTGGTCTACCCTTGTGGTAAAAGACGGATTATGAAGTTTTCTTAAAACTAAAAATTAGAGGTCTCAGGTTTGAAGCCCGCTGTTGGTGCGAAAGCCAGACTTGTGGCTAGAGGGAGGCTATAATGCCTCTGTAAGTCTTTTCAGTTCCTGAAAAAAGTGGATAACTGTGGTTTGCCACCGATTATCTCACTTTTTAAATATAAAAAAATATTACTCAAAACGTTTTAGAGAGAACATTAAATACATATCATAAGTTAATAATTAATGGGCATTACGTGTACCAACTACTCATTGGGGGTAAAATAGGAATGAAACATTCACTCAAAGTTTGTTATGTAGCAAGTTAATCAAAGAGTTAAATTTGAAGATATACAATTTTTGAGTTTTTACTAAATACACTATCAAAATTTGGACTAAATCTAACTTTTTTTATACTAAAATTACCTATGCAGCACTTAGTACTATGATTTAGTATTATTCTCACTTGTAAGTGAAAATTTTATATTCGATTTCCGTCAAAGATGAATTTGAACCATATTATTAGCCCACTCCCAAACCTTTATTATAAATCATATTGTTTGTTTAAACAACACTTAATTTTTTTGTTTAAATTGTTTTTTGATATCCAATTATTTTTTATATACCACATGATCAAATATGTGGGTCATGTATTTGTCACGTCATTATTTAACGGTTTAATTAACATATGTATGAAATTGTAACAAAATAAAAGTTTGAGTATGGGATTGAAATATTTTTAAAATATTGTATAAGATTGCAATTGCACTCAAACCTGAAGAAGTAAAATGTAATTTATCCAAATATAAATGATAATACTAAATTGTTTTTTGATAACCAATTATTTTTTATATGTCATATGATCAAATATGTGAGTTGTGTATTTGTTACGTCATCACTTAACGGCTTAATTAACGGATTTATAAAATTGTAACAAAATAAAAGTTTGAGAATGAGATTGAAATATTTTAAAAATATTATATAAGTTTGCAATTGCACTCAAACCCGAGGAAGTAAAATGCACCCAAATATAAACTCATAATACTATTGTTATCGACACCGAAGTGATGTCGTTTAGTCATCCTGTTTCCTATTGGGATATCCAGAATCCAGTAATCGAATTCGGACTCGAGCT